TTTAAAAAAGGGGAGGAGACCGAAATAAACTCTGGGTTTAAGGAAGTAAACCTGCTCCCGACCAGGTTAGGTTCACAGAGTAAGTTACCATGGTAACTGACTCTGAGTATAAGTTACCTCTCTTTCAGAAACGGGCTTTACTTACCCTGCTTTCTCAGGTTTGACTTACCTCCCATTCTGAAACAGAAAACCCAGAGTTTCCCTCATTTCAGGGTTAACATACCCAGAGTTTTCACTTAACCTCCTTTCTGAAACAGGCCCCTGAAGTTCAGCAATGGCCTACCTAAATACCTTATGTTTAAACAATAAGAAAGCTGTAAAATGTGTTTCCATTTGTAAACATTTTAATATTTTTATTTAACTTTAAGTTTGTCACTGTTGTTTTATTTATTTGTCTTATTTTGTGTTTATTCAAAGTTGGAATTCTTTAAAACCAATAAAACAAAAACAAAGTATAAAGCGACATCTAGTGGTGGAACGTTGTAGTAACATTTTTGCACAAAAACAAGCAGCAGACTGTAAACGATGGAAATAACTGAATAAATTACAAAAATAAATTTACTTACAAATTTAGAAGACAAAACAAACTTTCAAAATCATATAGGCGTAAATAAAGTAATTTTCATAATGTAGGCATTATTTGGTGTTGGCTATAGCGTGGTACTGACTGTAAACAGTGCGATATTTATGGTAAATAAATAGTGGTAAAGTAGAACAATGGGTAAAGTGGGACAGCTAAACTTCATAATTTCTATCTGTACATATGCTTTCATTACATTACTAAAAATCAACATTGAGCTCATCATAATTAAGTATGTGATATATATATATATATATATATATATATATATATATATATATATATATATATATATATACATATAGGTTATATGGCTATGGCATCACTTGGCATAACAACAACATAACAACCTTGCAGTGAACCATGATGAAAAAAGTTTGACAGTAGCGCCTGGAAAAAATGTGGTTTGGGGTCAGTGTGTGTGTGTGTGTGTGTGTGTGTGCGCATGTTGTTATAAATTAAGCCCCCAAGTTGTTTGTGCTTCTGGAGACTATTAGCCTATCTGGTTTTGGCACTTGCCTCAATTTCTTAACAGCATGTTAAAATATTTTGTAATTTTAGAATTGCTAAACATGTCCTCTAAATACCAAAAGAAGTGGAGACGACGAAGGGCAAGGGTTGATGCCTTGTATATTGATGTAATTTTTAATGGTACCCTTTATCTATTCAGGGGACATCACAGCCCACCTGTCTTTATCAGAAATGTCCTGTTCACTTTCTCACAGTTACACACCTCTTTCTTAATGGCACCAAGGTGGTATTGAAGAGGCAGGGGGCAAATGCTATAAGTGCAAGTCATTTACCTCCAATTTTTTTTTTTTTTTTTTTTTTTAAGAAATATATTCTCTTCCCTTATATGCTGTGAAGAGGTTGAGCCCAAATTCTACTCTGAAATTGACGCAGCAATGGCAGGACACCTGAAACACGCTCCAGGAAGAGCTGGTGGATACAAAAAATGAGCCAACTAATGTGTTTAAGGGATAGTTCACCCAAAAATGAAAATTGTCATCATTTACTCAACCTCATGTTTATATACCTTTCTATGTTATGCTAAACACAAAGACGTTTGGAAGAATGTTTGTAACCAAGCAGATGTCGCTTCCCATTAACTACCATCATCATTTTTTCTCCAATAACGGTAGTCAATGGTTGCTCTATTTGCTTGGTTACAAACATTCTTCAAAATATCTTCTTTTGTGTTCAGCTGAAGAAAGAAACTCAAACAGGTTTGGAACACGAGGGTGAGTAAATGACAGAATTTTCTTTTTTTTTTTTGGGTGAACTATCCCTTTATAATTTTAGTATTTTGTCATTTTAGTTTGGTTAACAAATGTTAAAAATTAAGAGACATTTTGGCTGTTCAAGATCAATAAAATGTTGTGCTTAATCAGAACATGCTTCTTTTTTGCTTATGTCCACAAATAATGTGTTCTTGTTTGTGATGCACAACGTGATTAAAACGGTTTATTGACGTTCAGGTCTCACTGGACCAATTTTTGACCTTTTTAGAACCTTTGTCAAGATGTGTAAACCTCAAGACGTGATTGCCTTTTACGATGTTACACAATAGGTGTGTGATATTTTATATGCAGGTTTATATACACTTAAATTATGCAACAACACATTTAAACACACGACGACGCATTTAGACGTCCAGGGACGCGCAGAAGAGACGTGGAATTCACGGTCAGATGACGTCGAAGACGTCCGTTCAACTTTCATTTTGGAACTATTTTTCAACCACGACGGGACGTGTCGATCGGACGTCTTTTCAACGGTCATTAAACGTCCAAATGTTTGCTGGGAAGTAGCAAGAAGATGTGGAGAAATCTGATTACAGTCACCGACGCATGTAGGCCTACTGTATACAAGGGTAATGTGCTGCTAACCACATTTTTTTTAGTTGTGTTGCAGGAGTTTTCATGCCAAGAATAGGCTATGGCGTTTTTTGAATGTCGTCGCTGCAGACTCCTGACACACGCCTGCATTGAGCGAACTGCAGTTTGAAGTGAATGACAAAACACAATTATGTTATGTTTGTGTCTCCAAACCTGATCTATCCAGCGAGAATTATGTTATAAAAGATGAGTTATAAAATTTTTAAATTGTAGGATATTTCTAAATGTATAAACAGTTTTTTGAATGTTGATGCATTGAAGTAGCAGAAGTAGTTGAGACAAACCTACACTGTAGCCTATGAAATGTAGGCAGGACTGCAACCTTGCGGCCAGAATGAATATTTTACATGCGTAATTTTACACCTGCTTAAGATTCTTTTAATCGAAAAAAAAAAAAAAAAAACCTGAGTATCGACCTTTTTATAATTGGCCTACTTTATGAAGAAATTAAGAAGTTAACGTGTAGCCTACGTAGGCCTAATGGGAAAAACTAAAGTTAAACATGAGGTAACGAAACTTGATCATTACAGTACATAATCATTTAACTTAACGGGATCCCGTTAATCTTTTTTTATCTTTTCTTTGAAAATGCTTTTTGACCGTTCGGATTTCTTTGACCGTTACAATGAGGTCTCTACAGATTAGCGTCTCGCACCAGAGCTTCACGTTCAGCAATAAAACTTAATTTCAATTTGCTAAAAGTTCTACTTTTTAAAAAAAACACGTCTCTTACATTCTACTCCTGTGTGTGTCTGTGTTGCTTGCCCTCAGTTTTCTTAATGCTGCTGCACTAAAAAACTGTTACTTTCTTAAAATGCAATGCGGTATTTTGTAATGAATTGCACTGTATTAACACATTATATATATATATATATATATATATATATATATATATATATATATATATATATGTTGTATAGAAGCCTAATTATATTATAGTTTTCAATGTGAAGGGGTTGGGTTGGAATGTTGGCTCTTATCCCCAGCTCTGGGCCCCCTAGTACTCAGTCCCACTTTTCCCCCATTAGCGACGCCTTTCTCTTGATAGTTGCTCTTATAGAGTTACTATAAAGTGTCAAGATGGGCAGCTGTATTAAAACCATTATTAGTTTGTCCTTACGAATTATACGTTCAAGTAGTATTCTTAAGGACACAAAAGTTTAAAGAAATGTTTTGTATTATTTTAGATTTACGATGCAGCTTAAAAGAGACTGAATGATTCATGGAGAATACTCAAACATTCAGCGACAGACATTTTCCTCCAGGATGCAGGTACATCTTAATATGATCTTAATGAAAATACATTGTATGCTTTTTAACAGTGTAGGTATGGATCAACAGAAAGACAGATACAGGGTTCCCACACATCCTGGAAAAGATATACAAACTGGTCTGGCAATCAAGCCGCTCCACTCTCAGCTTGGTTGTCCGATAGAAAAGTTTATCTACATGTTAATTCAGATATATGAAGTCTAGCCTCTATTGCACAGGGCAAGATCAAACCCACTGGTGTCCAGCTGTGTGTCCATGAAGAGTGACCAGTCTATGGGCAAGCCCATACAATTTAAAGCTGCAGTCCGCATTTTTTCCTTTTTGTCGCCATCTCTGTTCGAAATCTACAATTGCAGTCATTCGCGGAATTATCAACTTTACGTGAGTTGTAGTTCGACACCGCACAGTGCGGATGAACACATTGAGGAGAGTGTGCAGCTGTCAGTCACCGTGCCTGTGTCGATACTGGCATTCAGAATCACAGATTATTCTTTTTGGAAGTATGACCAACATAATAATTTTCACCAGAAAATGTCATCTGAACAAGTAAGTAACATCCACTTTTGTTCTGGTTCTGACATTGCAGTAAATCACGCTGATTAAATCTAACAATCGCTTATCATCACGTAAAACCGTGCAAATTATACTTTGTTCTCAACTTGTTAATGTTAACAACGTCAGCATTGTGTGACTACATGTAATGTCCTTCCGATATGTATACTTGTTTTCGCATGGGCCGGTTGCCGACTCTTTTTTTCTGTAAGTTAGCCACTCCGAAGTCCGAACGAAGTCTTTTGCATTTTACAACGGGTGAATCTGTTGTCACTGGTGATTATCGTTTGAACCTTTCTGGATCCGCCATCAAATTGATAAGTTTAATTATATCAAGTGCTGTGAGAAAAGGCTATAAATCTCCACCTCCAACATCTTCACTCACAATATAGCCTACTAGCCGAGACTCTTTCTTTATGTGTACAGATGTGACGTAATGACGCAAAGACATGCTCGAATCTCCCGCGGAAATCCACCAGTACCACTGGAATTAAAAACATTATTACACAAGCTTACCGTTTTGAATCGAGTTAAGGCAAGCAGATAGTTTTGAACACTGGCTGGTTATGTATTTTCTCAAATGTATTTTGGATCATTTTTAACCCCAAAAAAGCTACTTTATGCTAGTTTTAGTTAAATCCACTATATGAATTCTTGTCTCATTTTCTAATGTCTCTATGATATTGGTCTTTATTCGAATGCTATTGCACAGAGAGAGATCAAACCCACCGGAGTCCAGCTGTGTGTCAATGAAGAGCGACCAGTCTATGGGCAAGCCAATACAATTTAAGGGAAGACACACATCAGCTGATCTGAGGTACATTTCTGTCTACATTGACAGGACAGATAGATAGATAGATAGAGAGATAGATAGATTCCAAATGTGACGTTTATGTTAAATCCACTATATGAATTCTTGTCTCCTTTTTTTATGTCTCTATGATATTGTACTTTATTCGAATGCTATTGCACAGAGAGAGATCAAACCCACCGGAGTCCAGCTGTGTGTCCATGAAGAGCGACCAGTCTATGGGCAAGCCAATACAATTTAAGGGAAGACACACATCAGCTGATCTGAGGTACATTTCTGTCTACATTGACAGGACAGATAGATAGATAGATAGATAGATAGATAGATAGATAGATAGATAGATAGATAGATAGATAGATAGATAGATAGATAGATAGATAGATAGATAGATAGATAGAGAGATAGATAGATTCCAAATGTAACGTTTATGTTAAATCCACTATATGAATTCTTGTCTCCTTTTTTTATGTCTCTATGATATTGTACTTTATTCGAATGCTATTGCACAGGGAGAGATCAAACCCACCGGAGTCCAGCTGTGTGTCCATGAAGAGCGACCAGTCTATGGGCAAGCCAATACAATTTAAGGGAAGACACACATCAGCTGATCTGAGGTACATTTCTGTCTACATTGCCAGACAGATAGATAGATAGAGAGATAGATAGGTTCCAAATGTGACGTTTATGTTAAATCCACTATATGAATTCTTGTCTCCTTTTTTTATGTCTCTATGATATTGTACTTTATTCGAATGCTATTGCACAGAGAGAGATCAAACCCACCGGAGTCCAGCTGTGTGTCCATGAAGAGCGACCAGTCTATGGGCAAGCCAATACAATTTAAGGGAAGACACAAATCAGCTGATCTGAGGTACATTTCTGTCTAAATGAACAAGACTAACGGACAGACGGATAGATAGATAGATTTCATATGTGAAGTTTATCTACATTGTGGCATCGGCAGAGGGTGTGTCATGGAATGAAGGTATGTGCCATCGAGGGTTGTGTTTAACCCTCAGGTGCTCTTCGTTTCGGAGTCACACATCTTCCCGGTCAGAAGTGACCGGACACCTAAAAATGAAACTTTCTTCATCCCAGTAAAACCAATGCAATTTATTTTTGTTTAATAATATTTTTTCTTTTTAATTTTTAATTTTGAGAGAATTTGATGTTACTTATTAATATTTATGCAATATTTATGGTCCATTTTTGCCATTGAAAATAATAATAATAAAAAAAAGCTACGTCGTTCTTAAGTTACACCTTAAGCTGTACCTTATTATCGTTAATACGTGTTTCCCGAAACGCTCTTAGTTAAGTATACCTTCTGTAAGTCATACGTTCGGAAGGTTGGTCTGGACCACTCTTAGCTTTACATTATCACTGTTAAAGGTCTATATGAATATAATTCTGAAGTTTTAATACACCCAGACAGTGTTCAATTAGGCTAATTCAAGTGTTTTCATGCAAAGAATAAAATTGTCATTACACTGATTGTTGTTAGAATTTTAATTATATTATTATATATAATACAATTTTATAAATTTATTTTAATTAAAGAGCGCTTTTAAAGGCCAGTGAAAGCATAGGCTACTGTCAGTTAAGTCCTATTCGGACGCTAATATTGTTTATCATGGGCTCGTACGGTATTTTAAACATTTACAGGGGGTAAGTCGGTTATTTTAGTGCCGTCCGAATCCATAATATCAGTGTTTTTTCTCACCCAACCCGCGTAAAAATCTCTGTGCAAATTTTTGACAAACAGGTCGTGTGGTAATTTAATTGCCGTCTGAATCCACATCTCTGAGTTTACAAGAAGAGATTCAAAATTCACTGTTTAAATCCTTTTTGATCACTGCCGAGCACCGTAGCTACATGACGTACACTTTTATTACTGAAATGCTTGAAAGTATTTACAAGAACAATATTTCATCGCAGCTCACCTCAGCGAACAAAAATGGGAAAGAGAAGAAAGCACATAAAAAATTTAAATGGTTATTATGGCAGCAATATATGATACAATTTTAAAATATGTAGGCAAGGCTATTATAGGCTGTTATAGTTTGGATTATTTTTTATAATATCCCATGAGTCCTAGTAAATGCAATTTCAACTATTTCTGAAGTGCTTCTTTTATAAAGAACAGCGCTTTCTCACATAAACAGCCCTTGCACGAGAGAATAATTGATTCTCGAGTCATCGATATCAACAGATTCAGCACCATCGCCATGGACAGCACCCGGTAACGTAGCACGTAAGAAGGTATATCTTAAGCAGCTTTCTAAGGTTTAGTTCGGGGAACACGCCTAGAAATGGTATACCTTCAGTTAAGTTATACCTTAAGTTAAGAGTCTTCGTAGCGCGCTAAGAGACAACGTTATCGGGAAACTCAGCCCTTACCTTTTAAATCCAATTTTTGAAGTCAGATTAGCGCCATCTGTTGAAAGAAAATAAAATAAAACATGTAATTTCATGGTGTAACCACTAGATGCCTGTATAGCTCTCTATGGAGAGGCTTGTGAATTCTCTAGTTGTTTTGGGACAAAATTACTTACTTTTAAGATGTGGATTTGAATGTATTTTTTTTAAATTCTCAAATAATACTTTTTGCCATGGTTTATAAAAAAAATGTAAATAAATTTGATGTGAAGTGTACACGTTTTTGCATTATTACTACAGTCAAACCTGAATACAGAGAAAGCATTTTGTTACAGGTAACATTACAATTCAATAAAAAAAATAAACAGTAATGCTTTTTCACAGCTTATTATTATTATATTATTATTATTGTTATTATTATTATTTTTAAACATATTAATTTATTATTATTTTTAAACATTATATTAATTATTTTAATAATTTTAATAATAATTATATTATATATTATATTATATATATATATATTAATTAAAATAATTAATTATGTTATGTTTTTCACTATTGATGTTTTTTTCTGCATTGTGGCCGATTTGTAGAGAAATTGTGTTTGTCAATTTCCCATTCATTTGTGTGTGTGTGTGTGGGTGAGTGTGTCTGTTTTGCACTCTTGGTGTTTTAGAGTGTCACCCCTTCATTGTTGAACACTTTTTTTCTGCATCGTGGCCGATTTGTAGATTGTACACACAAAAATTCTCAGACCTTTTGTGTTTTTGTCAATTTCCCATTCATTTCCTATGGTCGGTCATTTTTGACCGAAGAGCACAAGTGTGACTATTTTTTTTACGACCACTTAGCCTGCTCGGATCATGACCTCAATTTTTTTGTGTGTTCACATACCTAATGCCATAAAAGTCACCAAGTTTCGTAACATTCCGATGAAGCTGTGATTTTTAAAATTTCAAAACAAAAAATTCAAAACAAAAAAATTCAAATTCGCTCTTTCCTCACTTACCTCCCTCCGTCTCGTTCACTCGTATGTATGTCATTGCTTATGTTGCACTAGTGCCCACTACTGACGGAATCCTTGGAATGTATTTAAATGGAACACCCTAAGCCCTTGATCATTTGGAATAAAATATAGAGCGGATCTAATCTTTACATAAATTACCTGTAAACATGACCTGCTGTGACGTCTCAATCGTGTTTTATTGTGGTCTATAGATCTGCCTGAAGTGTACATATTGAGTAGACTCGCTCCCTCTGTCAAATTCGAGGGATCGAGGGTCTGTCCAAAGAAACTTCCCCTGTCCACTTGATGAAGTAGAACGCACTTTAAAATGGAGTTGGGGATTCCCTCGAGCGGAAAGGCTTAGGGTTGTTTGCGAGTGTATGTCTAAATGTGGAGTTAAAAGCAGCCTAGGGCTCCATTTAAGTCCAATTGTTTATGTCCTGCTCTCGCTAACTTCCCTACATCTCATTCACTCTGATGTACGTAATTGCTTACATTGCATGAGTGCCCACTAGGGTTGTAACGGTATACCGGTATGGCGGTTTATTGCGATATTGACATGTACGATTATCATATCGTGCACATTTGCTTATCCGCGGTTTAAAAAAAAAAAAAATATTAAACCAGAATTCACCCGCACTGCCGCATGCACTACGCACTAATGGCGGAACCCTTAAAATGTGTTTAATTGAAATGGGAAATTAAGGTGTGGCGGATAAATACAACAAAATAAAATGATACGACCAGCTTAAAAACTGGGGTATTTTTAAAATATAATAATAAACGTGAAACCAATGTGTAGGCCTACTCGCAACTTTATTAGCAGCGTCCTCGTAACATCGCACCAACAACATAACATGAGTAACATCCTCTTTGCCCCCTAACTGTGCGTTCACACTGCCGCCGGCGAGAGCGGCCACGCCGCCCTGTCAATGACGCCGTGGAAAGATTTGTGGATGCTCTGACGTAGATCGAATGCTTGGTCTTTTTTAAAACTGTATTTAAAGGGGCCGCAAAGCAAACAAGCATGTCGATCGTTATTTTTGCAGACTGACCAAGTAGGGTATAAGTTAACCTCATGGAATCTTTTAAGGACACCAATTTTCTTTGTGAATGAATAATGCATCATGAATAAATAAATGTTCTTCCTTAAAATACAGGGTGCATAAGTCAGGACACCCCTATGTTAAATTCCCATAGAGGCAGGCAGATTTTTATTTTTAAAAAGAGAGATTTCAAATCCACCGGAGTCCAGCTGTGTGTCCATAAAGAGCGACCAGTCTATGGGCAAGCCAATACAATTTAAGAGAAGACACAAATCAGCTGATCTGAGGTACATTTCTGTCTACATTAACAGGACAGATAGATAGATAGATAGATAGATAGATAGATAGATAGATAGATAGATAGATAGATAGATAGATAGATAGATAGATAGAGAGATAGATAGATTCCAAATGTGAAGTTTATGTTAAATCCACTATATGAATTCTTGTCTCCTTTTTTTATGTCTCTATGATATTGTACTTTATTCGAATGCTATTGCACAGGGAGAGATCAAACCCACCGGAGTCCAGCTGTGTGTCCATGAAGAGCGACCAGTCTATGGGCAAGCCAATACAATTTAAGGGAAGACACAAATCAGCTGATCTGAGGTACATTTCTGTCTACATTAACAGGACAGATAGATAGATAGAGAGATAGATAGATTCCAAATGTGAAGTTTATGTTAAATCCACTATATGAATTCTTGTCTCCTTTTTTTATGTCTCTATGATATTGTACTTTATTCGAATGCTATTGCACAGGGAGAGATCAAACCCACCGGAGTCCAGCTGTGTGTCCATGAAGAGCGACCAGTCTATGGGCAAGCCAATACAATTTAAGGGAAGACACACATCAGCTGATCTGAGGTACATTTCTGTCTACATTGCCAGACAGATAGATAGACAGATGGATTTTTTTATTGTACTGTAAATATTTTTTTACCCAACCAGTATATGGGCAAACCAAAACAATTTAAGGGAAGACGGACATCAACTCATCTGAGATACAACATTTTTGTCAAAATCTACAGACAGATAGATTAAATTCTACAATTCTATGGTACAGTTCTACCATCTGGTCTGGATACAGACTGGATCCAACTGAATGCAATAACCTAGACATAATGAGACAGAAACTAATATAAGTGTAAATGCCTATCCTCTTTCGAAATAAAGTACATTGAGTGGAACCAGGAGAACTTCACATAACACTCAATCTAATTAATGGATCATAACAATCCCTTTTGAGTCAAAGAAATATGATAGTGTGTTATAAAATGGTCATACTAGACTATGAGCATGCAAAATTTCTTTGGACACTGCAACTTAAGTGATATGATTTCACTCTCTGTAACATCTTTTTTTTTTTAAACATGAATTCAATATATAATAAATAATTAAATCCAAAATGTAAAACTATACAATCTACTCCAATTTCCTGCAATGCTGCAAACATGCAGCTTTAAAGTTTTTGTTTAGTCAGCTTAGAGGTCACACCATGATTTATCAATCTTTATTGGTCACACGTCATGACACACATGATACAATTTCGCAGGTCAGAGTTCACTAAATTTTGGAGCAGAGGTAACGTCCGAAATTGCATGCTGTCTTGAGTAGGTACTTATTTTGAATAAGTAATTACTTCATGACCGTTAGAAAAGTATGTTCTCTATAGTATGGATGTGTGTAGTATGAATGTAATATGGACGTACTACATTCACCCTGTTTACATTCACCCTTATCATGTGACCTACCAGCATCAGTTGCGTCGCGTCACCGCCATTCACAAATCCTATCCCGTGGCCACAAGAAATAGTAATATGTCCACACTTCAGAATCTCGCTGGAATAAGTAGGTCATCCAGGTACTTTTTGCCTACTCTTTTATGAGTAGTGTGAATTTGGACATAACTCTTTTGTCATATACTGTTTTTGACTACTATATAGTAGGGAATTATGCGATTTTGGATGCAGCCACAGTGAAATGTGAAACTACATGTCTAGATAGATAGATGGATGGATAGATATGTTTACTATCACTTGTCAGAGTGTTGTAATCTATTTATGAATCTTCATTTAATGGCACTCAACTGGTCCAAAGCACATTCAAATCAATTCTGAAGAAGAAGTTTCAGTGTCTGTATGAAGGAACAGCAAAAGACGGAAGCCCAACACTCCTAAATGAGATCTACACAGAGCTCTTCATCACAGAGAGTGAAAGTGGAGGGATCAATAATGAGCATGAGGTGAGACAGATTGAGACACTATCCAGGAGAGCAGCAACAGATGACACACCAATAAAATGCAATGACATCTTTAGACCTTTACCTGGACAAGACAAACCCATCAGAACTGTGATGACAAAGGGAGTCGCTGGCATTGGAAAAACCGTTTCTGTGCAGAAGTTCATTGTGGACTGGGCTGAAGGGAAAGCAAATCAGGATGTCCAGCTAATTTTTCCACTTCCTTTTAGAGAGCTCAATCTCATGAAGGACAAAAAACTCAGTCTTTCATATCTTTTTCAGATTTTGTTTACTGAAGCAAAAGGAATGCAAATATGTAGTGATGAATATAAAGTTTTATTCATCTTTGATGGTCTGGATGAGTGCCGTCTGTCTCTGGATTTTCAGAGCAATGTGAGGTTGTGTGAAGTAAGTGAATCAGCCACAGTGGACGTGCTCCTGACAAACCTCATGAAGGGCAATCTGCTTCCCTCTGCTCTCATCTGGATCACCTCAAGACCAGCAGCAGCTGATCTCATCCCCTCTGAGTGTGTTGATCGAGTGACAGAGGTGCGAGGCTTCAATGACCCACAGAAGGAGGAATACTTCAGGAAGAGAATCAGTGATCAGAGTCTGGCCGATAGAATCATCACACACCTGAAGTCATCAAGGAGCCTCCACATCATGTGCCACATCCCAGTGTTCTGCTGGATATCAGCCACTGTTCTTGAGGGAATGTTGTTGAAATCGTGGAAAGGAAAGATCCCCAAGACTGTCACTCAGATGTACACACACTTCCTGATCCTTCAGACAAACATTAAACATGAGAAGGACTATGAGAAGGAAGCGAAAGATGAAGACATGATTTTCAAACTAGGGAAATTAGCTTTCCAGCAGCTTGTGAAAGGCAACTTGATCTTCTATGAGGAAGACCTGAGAGAGTGTGGTATTAATGTGACAGAAGCATCAGTGTACTCTGGACTGTGCACTCAGATCTTTAGGGAGGAGTTTGGCTTGTATCAGGGGAAAGTCTTCTGCTTTGTTCATCTGAGCATTCAGGAACATCTAGCAGCTCTATATGCGCACCTCTCCTTTACAGACTACACAAATGTGTTTGATCAAACCACAGAACAAAATATCTTATCTAAGGTTTTAAACTGGATGAATAGTCATTCATTATCTGGGCTGCATAAAAAAGCTGTGGATGAGGCTTTACAGAGTAAGAATGGACACCTGGACCTTTTCCTGCGTTTCCTGCTGGGTCTCTCACTGGAGTCCAATCAGACACTCTTACGAGAACTACTGACACAGACAGGAAGCTGCTCCTACAACAAAGAGGAAACCATTCAGTACATCAAACAGAAGATCAGAGAGAATCCGTCTCCAGAAAGATCCATCAATCTGTTTCACTCTCTGAATGAACTGGGTGATGATTCACTGGTGCAGGAGATCCAAGATTATCTGAGATCTGGAAAAATAAGTAAAACCAAACTCACTTCTTCACAGTGGTCAGCTCTAGTTTTTGTGTTGCTGACATCAGAGCAGAAGATGGAAGAGTTTGATCTAAAAAAATTTATTGGAGGACAAAACACAGCAGATGAAGTTCTTCAAAAACTGCTGCCTGTGATTAAAGAAACCAGATCAGCTCAGTAAGTAAACAATCACTGCACAATAAACATATAATTTCCATATAACATATAATGGCCATTGCCATTATAACATTTATGATTATAGCATGTGCTTTCTTACCAAAGCAACAACAACAACAAAAAAAAACAAAAAAAACTTGCAGTTACCAGCTGAGGATTTTTTTTATGTGGTCTGTGTGGAAGCTGGGTGATAGAGGTCAATTTGTCAGATGTGATAAAGGATTTAATTTGAGAGGGATCTGGCAGCAAATATCAAAATGTCTTGAAGGGCCAGTTCACACAGAACGTATTTTTGCTGTTAAAAAGCTGTCAAAGACGCCTATCTAGCGTGTGTTTACAGAGAAAAACAATGGAAAAGTAGCGCAGTGGAATGGAAAAAACGCGTTCTGTATGAACTGCCCCTAACAGTGCCATTTTCTATATTTTAATAATGTATGATTTGGACTGTTTTCCTCTAATGATGTTTATGACCCCATTTACATCCGGCATTAACATTCATTTTTTTGATCGGATGATCAAAGTGGTCAGTGGTAAATACAGGTGTAAAATAGGGTCTAAAATGTTTTGTGATTGGAACACTGAATCCACATATGGAGGTAGTCAGAAAGGCATGTGACCACATTGCATGTGTAGTGTAAACACTAATCCGTCCTGAATGTGTCCCGCAAGTACCGCCTGCTCCCCTCGCCACCCGCTCACATAATAGGCTGTTGTGAGAAAACGCAACAAAATAAATGTTTCAGTCTTTGCTTTGTTGTACCAAAACATGGACTACCATTGAAAATGCAGCTGCCCTCCTTATCCTTTTCATTCATTTCCATTTCCCCTCACGTGTAAGCCGTGCATCATGGGTTCATTCATGCAATAGTATTTGTGTGCCGCAGCTCGTTTCACCAATGAAAGTTATGTAGAATGTGACTCAATAGGAGGGGAGTGTCTTAACGAAATCTGATTACAAGTGGTCACTGGTCAGAGAAGACTCATACCAGGTGGAAGCGGTAATGCGCCTCGGTTGACCACTTGTAATCGGTTCACTGAAAACGCATCTTGAAGGGAAACGTCTCTCATTTACTCACCCTCATGCTATCCCAGATGTATAGGACTTTCTTCTGTTGAACACAAACAATGATTTTTAGAAAAGCAATCTAATGCAAGTGGATGGAACCCTCAGTTAACACTTTAAAAACCACACAAAGTGAACACAACATGAATCCATACGACCCCAGTTTATGAATCAATGTCTTCTGAAGTGATACGATAGGTGTGTGAGAAAAACACCAATGCTTCTGTTACACTTCTCATGTGAGCATCAGAACACATTACACCACGCTTCACAACACTCTCATGAACCCATGCATGACATTTGGCGGGAGGCAATGGTTTATAGTAAAAAAGTTTAAAATTTGAGTTTATTTTGCTTAGTTTTTTGAAGCGTCAACTTTGCACTTGCATTATGGACTCACATATATGGATTATTTTTCTAAAAATCTGTTTATGTTTATGAAACAAAGTCATACATTTGTGATGGTATAAGGGTAAGTAAATTATTTTTTAGGTGGAATATCCTATTAATATCTGGTGTAAACAGGGTCTAAGAAAATGTTTTACTGTATGTATGAATTAAATTAGCATTTTGCAAAGTTTTCACATGATTTTCTTAAACTGCAGCTGGTATCAGTTCATCACTCACTTTCATTTATACAGGTTGTGTAGGTGTGGTGTCACAGACAAAGGTTGTAATGTTCTGGCTTCAGCTCTGTCATCAAACCCCTCGCACCTGAAAGAACTGAATCTGTCTGGAAATAAACTACAAGATGCAGGAGTGAAGCTTGTCTCAGATGGACTGAAGAATCCTCACTGTACCCTGGAAACACTGCGGTAAGATTGTATAAAAAATCATCCTCAACCTCATTCTCCACCTACTGGGGTCAAGTCAAGTCACCTTCATTTATATAGCGCTTTTAACAATATAGATTGTTTCAACGCAGCTTTACAGTGATAATAGGAAATAAAAGTAACAAAGATTGTTTTGGTTTTACAGCAGCTCTAGAATAAAGTTATTGTCCAGCTAAAGTTAGTGATTCTTTGGACACTGCAACTTAAGTGATATGATTTCACTCTCTGTGACATCTTTTTTTTTTTAAACATGAATTCAATATATAATAAATAATTAAATCCAAAATGTAAAACTATACAATCTACTCCAATTTCGTAAAGTTTTGATTGATTCACTTCCGTTGCAAAGATCATTAGTTATAAACTTAGGGCCGCAAACACGACACCGTTCTAACAGAAAACCCTTAACGCGCTGTGCCTGTTGTGCCTTAAACTCCCTGGTGGCTCGAGTAAGCAAACCTTGAAATAGGTTCCAAGGTGCAATCCTTGAAAAACTTTGTGGAAAAAAAGTTATCTCTGTGCAAACTTCAAAAACGCGAACCTGTATTACGTGTTTAGTCTATAGGTATACACGTTTGTATGTGCGCAGGCATGTAGTCTTTACAAATTGACCTCAACAAATTACTTGTCTGGCCTTAATTTTATAATACAGAATATGTTATCGCTTCCACGTAGCCATGTGAACTGGAATTATTTTGACAACGTTTTATCTGTACAGAGGTAAAGGGAAGGGAAGGAGGCCTTCACGGGGAGAGACTAGTTGACACTTCAGGACTCTTGTCAACTAGAATGGTAGACGCCATTCTTCTTATGATGTAACGAATACATCAGGATTTATGGGAAGTGTTCCCGGTTGAATTATAGAAGTCTATAGTGTGTTATGTGTATGCTAGGTCAAAGAGATGTGTTTTTAGTCTAGATTTAAACTGACAGAGTGTGTACGCTTCCCGGACAATGTTAGGAAGACTGTTCCAAAGTTTTGGTGCTAAATAGGAAAAGGATCTACCGCCAGCAGTCGATTTTTCAGCATAACAGTGAAAAATGTTAATGCCATGCTTCCTAATGATATCTCCCAAGGGTAGCATGTACAGAGTGAACAGCAGGCCTAGTACTGAGCCTTGTGGTACTCCATACTGAACTTAGGATCGATTAGACATCTCTTCATTTACTACTACAAACTGATAACGGTCAGATAAGTATGATTTAAACCATGCTAATGCAATTCCACTATTGCCAACAGATTTAAAAGAATGTTGTGGTAAATAGTATCAAATGCAGCACTAAGATCGAGTAACACTAATACAACCACGATCGGATGATAAGAGCAAATCATTTGTGACTCTGAGAGCTGTCTCAGTACTATGGTATGGTCTAAATCCTGACTGGAAATCCTTGCAGATATCATTTCTTTCTAAAAAGGAACATGGTTGTGAAGATACTGCCTTTTGTAGTATCTTTGATAGAAAAGGTAGATTCGAGATCGGCCTGTAATTGACTAATTCTGTAGGACCATGTTGCATTTTTTTAACTAGCGGTTTAATCATAGCCAGCTTAAAAGTTTTTGGTACGTATCCTAATGACAAAGATGAATTAATGATGTTAAGAAGAGGATCTATGACCTCTGGAAGTATCTCTTTCAATAGCTTAGTCGGTATAGGATCTAACATCGAATTTTTCCTCAAGGAGACTACAATGCAATCCCTGATGCGATACTGTAGTAGACGGTTGCATAGTTATAATTTTCTCCCTGATATTATCAATCTTGTAAGTAAAGAAGTTCATAAAGTCATTGGAAACTTGGGTTGAAGCTTTATTTTTCGTTAATTTAGCCACCGTTTCAAATAAATACCTAGGGTTTTGTTTATTTTTTTCTAAGAGGGTTGAAAAATAAGCAGATCTAGCAGTTAAAGGGATACTCCACTTTTTTTGGAAATAGGCTCATTTTACAACTCCCCCAGAGTTAAACTGTTGAGTTTTACCGTTTTTGAATCCATTCAGCCGATCTCCGGTTCTGGCGGTACCACTTTTAGCATAGCTTAGCATACATCATTGGAGTGGACAAGACCATTAGCATTTCTAAAAGAAAAATGACCAAAGAGTTTCGATATTTTTCCTATTTAAAACTTGACTCTTCTGTAGTTACATCGTGCACTAAGACCGACGGAAAATGTAAAGTTGCGATTTTCTAGGCTGATATGGCTAGGAACTATACTCTCATTCCTGCGTAATAATCAAAAAACTTCACTGCCGTACCATGAGAGCAGCAGGCGTAATGATATGACGCAGCGCCTGAAAATAGTTCCGTTGTGTTGACGGAAGGTGGCCTATTTTCAGGCGCTGCGTCATATCATTACGCCTGCTGCTCTCATGGTACGGCAGTGAAGTTTTTTGATTATTACGCAGGAATGAGAGTATAGTTCCTAGCCATATCAGCCTAGAAAATCGCAACTTTACATTTTCCGTCGGTCTTAGTGCACGATGTAACTACAGAAGAGTCAAGTTTTAAATAGGAAAAATATCGAAACTCTTTGGTCATTTTTTTTTTTAGAAATGCTAATGGTCTTGTCCACTCCAATGATGTATGCTAAGCTATGCTAAAAGTGGTACCGCCAGAACCGGAGATCGGCTGAATGGATTCAAAAACGGTAAAACTCAACAGTTTAACTCTGGGGAAGTTGTAAAATGAGCCTATTTCCAAAAAAAGTGGAGTATCCCTTTAAAGCCTCTCTGTATGCAATCGAGCTCTCTTTCCATGAAATGCGAAAAAAAATTCTAGTTTTGTTTACTTCCAGTTGCGCTCCATTTTTCTGGATTCTCTCTTAAGGGCCCGAGTGTGCTCGTTGTACTACGGCGTTGGACTATTTTCTTTAATCTTCTTTAAGCGCAAAGGAGCAACTGTGTCTAAGGTGCTGGAAAAGAGAGAGTCAAATGTTTCTGTCGCAATATCGAGTTATTCTAAGCTATCTGGGATGCTGAGGAGATGAAACCGATCAGGAATATTATTAATAAAGCGATCTTTAGTGGCAGAAGTGATAGGTCTAACATATTTGTAACACGGAGTCAGCTTTTCAGCCTTGGCTAAATGAAGTATACACAAGACTAGATAATGATCTGAGATGTCATCACTCCAGAATTTCAAAGGCATCAACACATGTGATAATATTAGATCTAGAGTATGATTACGACAATGTGTACATGTTGTCTAACTCCAATAGAGTTCAAAATGTCTCTAAATGCCAATCCCAATGCATCTTTTTCGTTATCTACATGTATATTAAAATTACCAACAATTAGGACTTTATTTGCAGCCATTACTAACTCGGATAGAACTCAGCAAATTCTTTGATAAAGTCTATATGGTGGCCTGTATACAGTAGCCACCACAAATCTCAAATATGATTTATCATTTACACTAGATAGTGTAACATTAAAGGGATAGTTCACCCAAAAATTTTAATTAGCCCATGATTTACTCACCCTGAAGCAATCCTAGGTGTATATGACATTCTTCTTTCAGACGAATACAATTGTTATATTTAAAAATGTCCTGGCTCTTCCAAGCTTAATAATGAGAGTGAATGGCTGTTTGACTTTGGAAGTACATTAAAGCACATCTATTCATGATTAGATTGCCCGGCCCTGTTAGTTTGAACCGTGAGAGGCGTCAATTGCCGTCATTACGTTGTGCGTCAAGTTCAAGGGTTACTGTTTTGGCATAATACGCCTAATTTTCATTTTTGAGTGAACTATCCCTGTAAGCACCAACAATTCGGAATTACTGAGAAGTCTTGTTTCAAATATAATTCTTTTGAAGATATTGTACATCTATAATATATTTCGGACGAGCCTCATGTTTATAACAGTAATCTTGGGGGGGGGGACTCATTTAAAATAATGTAATTGTCTGGTTTTAGCCAGGTTTCTGTCAAACACAGCACATCTAGGTTATAATCTGTAATCATATCATAAACAATAAGTGCTTTTGAAGTAGGCGACCGAATATTCAGCAACCCGAGCTTTATCATTTGTTCTTCTATATTATATCTGTTTTTTATTTGTTGAACATCAATTAAATTTTTACCCTTAAATGGGTTTGGGAGTTTTTTTATTCAGACGGTCGGTTTAGCCAGTCTGTCTGCATCCTGACCTGAGTCTAGGGTTGGGTACCGAAACTCGGTGCCAATAGGGAACCGGTTCCGACGTAAACGGTAGACCGAATAAGAACGAAAATTTCGGTGCCTGATCTCGGTGCCTAACTTCATTAGACACACACGCACACACACAAGGTCTCTCGCTCTCTCTCTCTCCGCCGTGCGTGTGCTACACAGTTTGGAGCACAGTCTCTTCCGTCTCGCAAGCGCGCTCTTTCTCGCAAGGTTTGGCTGCATTTCACGTGTAAAATTACGTGTCAGAACGCCCTCTGGGTGTGCCGATAGTCTGAATCCCATATAGAATCAAGCCAATTCATTGGCTGATGGCGCGGGCGCCGCATCGACGCACTTACGTCGTCATACTATGTTGGCGCGCGCGCGCCATCTGCTCCTCAGATTTCTTTGCCGAAAAAGGAAGCTGGTCGGCAGCGCGAGGAGCTTGGCAGCGTCTCGTTCCCTATTGAGAGATATGTTACACCAGTAACCAGAGATGTTCTCTTTCATAGGTTCACTCAACGCTGCGTAGCTAAGAAGCAGTGGATTTGTAGGCTGCTGTATCACGTGCCGTTTGAACTGACGCGCTACAGCGATCTGTCACATTTCAAAGAGCCAAAACGTTATTTATTGTGTGAATCTCGTAAAAATATTGACAGAATCTGACAGCTGTGGATTTGTTCCATATCAAAAGTAACCTTCTCTGTCTTGTCTGTCCGTGTCCTCTTTGTCCGCGATTTTTCTGTGTGAAAAGGGTCATTTGCGTGAGTCTCACGGTCAATGCGTGAGAGTTGGCAGCTCTGCCTGCTAGTAATCTCTATTAATCTCCAGTATTATTACATTGTTTGATACAATATTGTTTCATTTGATATTATGTAAATATGAATTTTTATTTTATATTGGTTTTATTATTACCATATGTTACTTGTATTTATATTGTTTAAAGATTTAAGTTAATATTGTGTCCAGTTTGGCCCTGTAAATTAAAGGGTATTATTTTTTGATAAAGTGTGTGCGGTTTCATTTTCTTAAGTACCGATTTAAGAACCGTTTAAGCACCGGAACCGTTTAAAAAATACCGAGTAGGTACTGGAATCGGATAAAACCCAAATGATACCCAACCCTACCTGAGTCCCAATTTGTCATTGAATTCTATATTATTTTGCGTGAGGACAGTCTACTAAGTATCTCATCAGTCCGGCGAACAGGAAGGGGGCCAGAGCAAATTACAGTGCCTGACATCGTACTTGCGAGTTCACACACCTCTTTAACGTTAATTTTGGTGATCTCCGACTGGCGAAGTCGAACATCATGAGTGCCGACGTGAATAATAATCTTAGAGAATTTACGATTAGCATTAGCCAGCACTTTTAAATTTGCTTTGATGTCAGGCGCTCTGGCTCCCGGCAAACATGTGACTATGGTGGCTGGTGTCTCTATTTTCAAGTTCCGTGTAATAGAATCGCCAATAACTAGGGCACATTCAACAGGATTCTCAGTGGGTGTTTCACTGAGTGGGGAGAATCTATTTGTTATTGTAATCGGAATGGAAGAGCGGTGTTTTGTCCCGCGACTACAGCTTCTCACGGTCACCCAGTTGCCCTGCTGCACGGGTTCTACAGCCGGAACCGAACAATGTACAGAGTTCACTAAGCTAGTCGCATCCAAAGCACTATCTAAAGCCCTTGCACTCTTACTATCCTTGATTAAAGTTTGGATGCGTGTCTCTAGTTCTGAAAACTTCTCCATCAGCCTGACTATCTTCCTGCATTTTTCACATGTAAAGCCCTCAGTGCTGACAGAGAACGCTATACTATACATGTGACACGAAGTGCAAGTGACAATAACAGGAGAAGACATTACTCACCGTGTTTGTTGACTGATCCTACTCACCACAGTTGTTTGATAGACTCGTAAAAGGCAAAAAAGACAGTAAGCACGGATGGCAGGTTAACAGGCTAGCGAGATACTAGCGATAACGATTTAGATAAAAGCTAGTGATGTCAGATTAATGTGATAGACAATATTAAACAATATCTAATATATGTTGATGAGTAAGTTATATTTAGCAATATAAACAACATGGAGTGATAGTAAATAGAGATTCAAAACAGAAAGCTATATGGAGCTTATTTGCAAACCAGCAGCAGGCAAACAGAAGCAATCGATCCGCAGACAGAAGCGATCCGCAATCCAGCAAATTAGATTAATGAATGATATGCAATAAAATAAATTCAAAACAAAAATTTTGGTCTAAAAAGTGTCCTGTCAGATAAGGCTGTTTTAATATGTATTAGGTCCTTTTTAAGGATTCTGACATGGTATCTAAAACTGTCTTTATAATAGTATATGATTGGATAATGCATAAAAATAATCAGACAAAAAAGAAATCTGACTTGTATGCTATATTATTATGCTAATATTGCAGTTAACACTATCAAATACCTGTGTTAAAAAAAGAGAGACCACTTAATCCAGTTAGGTCCAGTCTAAGGTGCAATTCAGGACTAGGCCTGTTGATTGTGCAGTGGATTAAGTCTCTTTTTTATTATTGTGAAGTTCCTGCTTATCTGAGCTGTACATCCTGAACTGAGAGAGTGAAGAGAGTCAATGTTTTCTACAGGTTGAGTGATTGTGGTGTCACAGAGGAAGGTTGTGCTGCTCTGGCTTCAGCTCTGAGTTTAAATCCCTCATACCTGAACCTTCTGGATCTGACTGGAAATAAACTAAAAGATCTAGGAATGAATCTGATCTCTGCTGTACTGGAGGATCCTCAATGTAACCTGAAAACACTGCGGTAAGATTGTATAATTGTGTCAAAATCCTCTTCCTGTGGTAAATCATTTCTTCTGTGGTAAATAATGAACAAAATTAAAGCAAAAACAAGACTAAAAAGGGTCCTGTCATATAATCGAAGAGGATGTTGTTTTAATCTTCCTTATATTCTTTCCAAGAGTATAAAGATATTTGTGTGTACTCGCATAAAAAAAATTCCTGTGGTAAATCATTTCTTCTGTGGTAAATAATGAACAAAATTAAAGCAAAAACAAGACTAAAAAGGGTCCTGTCATATAATCGAAGAGGATGTTGTTTTAATCTTCCTTATATTCTTTCCAAGAGTATAAAGATATTTGTGTGTACTCGCATAAAAAAAATGTATATATATATATATATATATATATATATATATATATACAGTAGTTGCTCAAAAGTGATCCATTTATTTTAAAGATATATACAAGTTTGATTAAACCAACAAAATACAGGGAAATATTTTATATTTTTCAAATATTTTAAATATCAGGGAAGAACAAAACACATAACTTGGTCTACTGCTAAGGTTTTTTTTACTATGCAAAAAGTAATGCATAGAAAAACAAAAAGCTCAGGAAAAAAGTTATTAATATTTCGTTGGTTCTCTCTTGATTTTTGCATGCATTTATAATTTCGTTGTATGACCGCCTGGCCAAAAATTATGTCAGCACTATGTGGCATGTTTCATTGCGTTATAACAAATAAAATAAAAATGACTCCAAGCACAACTATGCAATAAGCTTACAAAATCTTTAACAATTTTTTAAATAATATTTGAATAAAGGGTGAAGGTGTCAATTTTCTTACTGTATATATTGTAATTAACACGCTCAAGCATTTAAAACCAGGTCTACACCTTAGACTGGACCTGTTAATTTTGACATGGATTAAGTCTCTGTTTGATTCTAAAATACCTGCTTATCTGATGATCTGTACATCCTGAACTGAGAGAGAAGAGTGTCATTTTCTTCTACAGGTTGATTGATTGTGGTATCACAGATAAGGGTTGTGCTGTTCTGGCTTCAGCTCTGAGATCAAACCCCTGCAACCTGAAAGAACTGAATCTGTCAGGAAATAAACTAAGAGCATCGGGAGTGAATCTACTCTCTAATGGACTGGAGGATCCTCACTGTAATCTTGAGATACTGTGGTAAATCATGTTTCTGAGAGTCATACACACTGTTACTCACTAAAACATATCCACAAAGAATTAATATTTAATAGCAGTTCTGACAATGATGTCTATAGAGTTTTATCCACATCAGAATATGTCCCAAGTGTAAAAAGGACAGGCAAATCTGTGTTTGAAAACTAATTAATGCCTCTCAATATTCCTCAGTGCAGGGTTTCCTAAATGGGAGCTTGTTGAGGAAACTGCAGAGGGTTCATGAGATGATGAAAAGCTAATCATCAAATCAAATGTAAAATAAATTAATGTGGCAGTAAAATGAACCAAAATAAAAATAATTATTAGGCCTATAATTATCAAATATTCTGTTTTTATTTTACAGGACAATTGTAATTTACAACACTAATATATTTGTATTTTTATAATTAGATAAAACGTCTCTGGTTACTCACGTAACCGTAGTTCCCTGAGAGGAGGGAACGAGACATTACGTATGGGAAATCCATTTTCCTCGAATCATGAAGTCTGATAGAATAACTCTTTTGCCTGCAAATAGCCAATGGCGGTCCCGCCATCACCTGATTGGCTGACACTCCTCAATATAGGTGACGGCGGGCGCCAAAAACCTTTTAGAATCTTAGCTGAACGAGAGTAAGGAGACTGTAAGTCTTTCCCACACGGCAGGTTACGTAATGTCTTGTTCCCTCCTCTCAGGGAACTACGGTTACGTGAGTAACCAGAGACGTTCCCTTATCGAGTCGGTCTCTCGACATTACGTATGGGGAACAATAAAACCCCCGCCGCGTGGGAAAACCCTGCCCAGCTCGAACGAGCTAAGGATAGCACGAGCACTAACCCCTACACAGCTCAGGAACAGGCACCAGACCTGGTTGAAACACCTATTGGCACAGAGCCAACTCGGCATCTGCACCAACGAGGCCCCTCCCACCTAGCTAAGCACGCTGAACTGAATGAAAGGGGATTGCAGCAAAGTGATTGGTGCTTAGGAAAATACTGCCGGCTTATGAATGCGGACATAATAAGGACACAATATAAAGAACATGATAGCTATTGCTAACAACTCGCACTGTCTGACGACTAGTCGAAACCATGGCTAGAGCGCGCGCCATCGGGGCATGTCTAGCCTAGTCCAATGACAGCTCAGCATTCTCTCTCTGCACTGACAATACATGTGGTGCGAATGAAGGAATATTCAAGTTATAGAATCTCGCGAACGTATTACGAGACGACCAGCCTGCCGCGAAACAAATGTCCTGAATAGACATATCTTTCGCCCACGCCCATGATGACGCCAAACTCCTAGTGGAGTGGGCGTGCACCCCTATAGGGCAAACGGCTTCTCGGGAAGCATAAGCCAGTCGCACAGCCTCCACTATCCAGTGAGATAGCCTCTGTTTCGACAGCGCGCCGCCTTTCTTGGCACCCGCGTAGCAGACGAAGAGCTGCTCTGAAGTTCGAAAATGGCTAGTTCTGTTCACATAAGCACGCACGGGGCACAAAGCGTACTTCTGAGACTCTGAAACACTGACCTCATCGGGGCAAAATGCTGGAATTGTAACCACCTGGGCTCTGAACGGCGTTGAGAGCACTTTAGGCGAGTATCCGCACTTGGGTAAAAGTCTAACCATGCAATCGTCCGGTCCGAACTGCATACATGCACTGTTTACTGACAATGCATGTAAGTCACCCACCCGCTTCAAAACTGCCCGGCACGTGCACTGCTCGAATCGACAGTAGAATTTTGTCCGTCCATAATAACAGCCGCCTCGCTAGCCCCTGCAGGGATCGCGAACGTAACCCTCCCTGGCGATTTATGTACGCCACCACCGCCGTGTTGTCCGTTCTGATGAGAACATGACGGTCTTTCAGAAATGGGAGGAAAACCCGCAGCGCTAGATGAACTGCTTCCATCTCCAAGCAGTTTATATGCCAGCGCGTCTGATCTCCTGTCCACGTACCGAATGCCGGTCTGCCATCGCAGAGGGCTCCCCAGCCTGACAGCGACGCATCCGTAGTGACCACTACGCGTCTGACCACTCTGCCCAAGGCAGCCCCCTGCTCGAACATGGTCGTGTCGAACCACGGCGCTAGAGTCTCCAGACATGAATATGATATGATAAGGCGTTCCGTTCCCGCTCTCCACGCCCGCGGCTGTACGCGTCTCTGTAACCAGTGTTGAAGTGGTCTCATGTGCAATAAGCCCAGTCTGCAGACGGAGGCTGCAGCTGCCATCAGACCGAGTAGCCTCTGAAACGTTTTTAAGGGGATAGCTCTGCCTTGAACGAATAGGGCTAACGTACTCTGAATCGACTGGATTCTCGACTCTGACAGCTTTGCAATCATAGTGCGTGAGTCCAGCACCATCCCGAGGAATGTGATGGACTGGCACGGTTGAAGCACGCTCTTCTGCATGTTCACAGACAGACCCAAACCTGTTAGGTGGGCGAGGAGTCTGTGTTTGTGTTCCCCAGGACACTCTCCGACCGCGCGATGACTAACCAGTCGTCGAGATAGTTGAGAATGCGCATTCCACTGAGCTTCAGGGGAGCAAGCGCTGCATTCATGCACATTGTAAATACACGGGGGGCCAGGGCCAGCCCGAACGGCAACACTTTGAACTGGTATGCCACACCCTCGAATGCAAACCAAAGGAAGCGCCTGTGATGCGCGGCTATCTGAATGTGGAAGTATGCATCCTTTAGATCCACTGCAATGAAGTAATCGTCGGGCTGAATGTGCGCGAGGATCTGCTTCACTGTTATCATTTTGAATGCGCGTTTCGCGAGTGCTTTGTTCAGTAATCTCAGATCCAAAACAGGGCGCATACCTCCGTCCTTCTTTGGTACTAGAAAATAACGGCTGTGGAAACCTGATTTTTTTTGCTCTTCGGGTACTGTCTCTACTGCTTGTTTGGCCAGGAGAGAGGAGATTTCTGCCCGAAGTAACGGAGCGCTCTGTTCTGACACCTCTGTCAAAATCACACCGCCGAAGCGGGGTGGTCTGCGAGCGAATTGGAGCGTATAGCCGCGTTTTATCGTGTTTAACACCCAATGTGATGCCGTCGGTAGTGTCGACCACGCGCTCTGGTGACTCAATAAGGGGGGCTTTAATGAACGCTGCGGCGGGGGCTGAGCGCCAGCCACCGGGGAAGCATTGACCGTTATATGAATGGTAGATAGCTCGTCCGCGGCTTTTTGCACGGGGACATAAATAGCCATCTTCTCGGGTTTCCCCGAGCTTCCGCTCTGCGAAACGTCTCCCGGGGGAGAGGCTTCGCCTACGACGCGGGTAATAATGTTGGGAGGAAGAAAGCTCTTTTGCTGAGACATGTAATGCACTTTGTTTATTGAAACAGAACACAGCGGTTTCAAAATAAACACATTCTCGTCGAACTCTGGGCGGGAACATGCCCTCTTCGCAGCGGGTCCGACGAACACGTCCTGCGCTCTCTCCTCCCCGACACGCACATCAGGAGCGCTGCTCTTTTTTGCCCGCCGGGCGCCCTTTGGCTGCTAGAGGCCGGCTTCGCACCAAAGTGGGGCTTCCTGAACTGCCTCTGGCGGAAGGGAGGCTCTGGCTTGCGACGTTCTGCCGCGCTCGGGGACGCGCGTAGGTCCCGCTGGGCGCTGCGCAGAAGATGATCTCGATCTCACCGCCGGCGGGGCTTGAGACCGTTTCGGCAGTAGATGAGGCATCATCTTAGATTGCTTGACGGTCTCGGCGTACTTGTCGGATAACGACACCACCGCAACACCGAAAAGTCCCGTGGGGCTTACCGGAGCGTCCAGGAACTGCCTTTTGTCAGTCTCGCGCATCCCGACAGCGTCAGCCACAGATGACGATGTAGGGCCACAAGACTGCCCATATTGCGGCCGATTCCCTGAGCGACCTTTTTAGACGCCGCCAAAGCAAGATCTGCGGCCGTGCGCAGTTTCCTGAGCAACTCGGGGTCCGGGCTTCCCATATCCAGGGACCCTAGGAGTCGCGTCTGGAAAACCTGCAGAATTGCCATCGTGTGGAGGGCAGATGCTGCATGTCCAGCTGACGTGTAGGCTTTCTCAGCCATGTGGGCAGTAGCGCGACATGGTCTGGAAGGCAGTTGGGCGGTCTTCCAGCCGGGAGAAGATGCTAAATGAGCCGCGATGGCATCTTCGACGGGAGGCAATCGAGCGTAGCCCAATTTCTCCGCCCCTTCCACTGTAGTCAGTAGCTGGGTACCTTGTGCATGGGCTCGGGCTGAGTAAGGGGAGCGCCATGATCTGGTGAGTTCCTCGTGGTCCTCCGAGAAAAAGGGGGCGGGTCTCCGCGGGGCTTCAGCTTGACGGCCCGCGCCGAGGAAGAAACCGTCCATCCATCTTTTCGACGGCAGCTCCTTGGGCGCTGTCCACTCCAGCTCCATATCTGCCACCGCCTCAGTGAGAATGGCCATAAGCTCCGCATCCAAAGAGGCTGGGGGGCCCTCAGACGGAGACTCGGACCATGCTCCCGGGTCAGAGGCACTGGTGGACATGGCGTCGTCATCGTCGTATCCAAACGAGATAATTTCCCGCGCTTCCTTAGGAGGGCGGTAAACGGCCTCAGAGTAAATCACGTGCTCTGCCACGTGAGGATGGCGTGGGCCTTGGGCCGACGTCAGCGCCTCGACAGAACCCGCGGATGGAGATCTCTGCCGTCTCCCGGTCCGCGGCTCGACGGCGGCAGACTGGGGAGAGGCAGGAGACACAAGGTCGTCGCTACGTGTAACGGCCAGCCTTGCACGAAGGATCCTGATGGGAAGCTCCTCACAGGCGGGACATCCCGATCCCTCGAGCGCCGCCTCCGCGTGGTCCCGACCCAGGCACAGCACACAAAGTTTGTGTGCGTCCGGGAAGTCGATGGGTCCACCACACATGCGACAAAGAGACATAATATAATCCACTGGAACGCGAGGGTTAGGAACTCCTTAATATACTCCGCTCTGAATGCGTACATCAACGGTGAAACAGACTCGAGTGAAGAAAAAAGATTCTGAGGTTTTTGGCGCCCGCCGTCACCTATATTGAGGAGTGTCAGCCAATCAGGTGATGGCGGGACCGCCATTGGCTATTTGCAGGCAAAAGAGTTATTCTATCAGACTTCATGATTCGAGGAAAATGGATTTCCCATACGTAATGTCGAGAGACCGACTCGATAAGGGAACTACTACTAATAATAAGCCCCATATACGTGCACCCCTATATTTAATTTAAAAATAAAATCACAAAATAAAATAAAAACACTTACTTCATTTGCATGTCATGTGACCATTAACCAACATCTGAGAACTATGAACATGTGAATGTTGTTACATTTTTTTTTATTTTTTTTTTATTTTTTTATATGAACTTAAAATGGCTGAAAGTGATGTCCGGAGGTGATATTTTGTTTTTAAGCCAAATTTAAGGGGAAAAAAATTACATTTTTCAAATATTTTAAATATGAGGGGTGACCAAAACACTAAACTTGGTTTAAGTATGTATATGACAAAATTATTGGCAAACTACAGCTACAGGTTTTACTATGCACACAATGTTGCCTAGCCCTAGACAGCATTCTAATGTAGTTTATTACATAACAATTAATAAAATTATAACCAATAATAATAATAATATACAAATATTAAATAAAAAGAAACGATCAGTAAATGGACTCAAAAGACTGGGATGGCATCGATAAAAAGTTTTGTAGGCCTATATTATTTTGTTCTTACATATTATTTTTAACATTTATTGATAATAACAAACTTAATTTGAATGCTGTCTATAGGCAACATCGCACGCAATATAATATAGGCCTAATATAAATAATGGTATAATAAAGGTTAAAACAATCCTTTCTTAATTCCATACTTTTTTGTCATCTTTAAAAAAAAATCTAAAAATAATCCCAGATTGCTATGGTCACACAGGTTTGTTTGCGTATTAAACTCGTGGCCACGAGAAATAGACGTCGTGTCCTTCCCTCAACATAAGAAGTCGTAGTCTCAAGAAAAATGTTGTTCCCTTAATAGGATATTGAGGCCACAACTTCACATCATGTGGCCACAACATAAGAATGTTGTTACCTCTGAAAAATTATCTTGTGGCCTCTACATATCACGTTCCCACAATTTAATATCTTGTGGGCATGACATGTTATCACATTCCACGAGTTAATATATCCTGGCCACAACAAAACTAAGTGAACCGAACATGTCCCCTCCTGGCAGTGATGGGAATAACGGCGTTATAAATAAACGGCGTTACTAACGGCGTTATCTTTTTCAGTAACGAGTAATCAAACGAATTACTGTTTCCCCCGTTACAACGCAGTTACCGTTACTGACAAAAAAAAATGTGGCGTTACTATAATTGAACTCACTGAAGCGGTTTTCATCCGAGTAGGCTCTCTCTCCGCCATAGGACCTGCAAAGTTTTTTTCTCTGGTGTGTGTGTGTATGTGTGTGTTTATGAGGCGCCGGAGTGGACAAAAGCGAAGCGAACGCCGCGAGCGTGCTCAATGCGCGAGAGAGACCGAGTGTGTCCGAGAGCCCGCTCATCAGTTGCGCAAGAGAGACAGAGGGTGTCCGAGCATTATATAGTTTGTTTATAAATAAATGACATATTTCAGCATTAGACAGCATTATCTATAGCCTATTGGTATCATCTGCAACGTTAATTAATTTACATGGTTATACAAATAAAATCTAAAAAAAATTACCTACAGGGAACGTTCTGTTTAGGTTTTAAAATAAAACCCGAAAATAACCTGCAGGGAACATTCACAGAAAACATCTTTGTTTGACCGGTTGTAAACAAGTGCGCCAAACATGTCTAGAATTTGGCTTAAATAACCTCTGATGATGACGTTCGCTATAGGTTATAAAAATAAACCCCCAAAATATTATATTTTAGTATTATATTTTTTGGGGGGGTAAATTGTTCAGTATTATATTGAGAGAGCACTTGTTAAACTGTTTACTTTTGTTAGGAAGAAAATACTTAGGCTACAGTATGTCTAATAGTTGTGAAGTTGTGTAACAGTTTTATCATTTTAATATGCACAAAGAGTATGTATTTTATTTATTTATTTATTTTTATTCATTTTTGGTACATTTCTTAAGAAGCATAATTTATTTTTAAACTTATTTGTTGGCCAGTTGGGGTCTGTGTGCGATATTAAGTATAAACCATCTATAATGTTTTATTGTTCTACTATATTAATGCTAATATTTAGAATAATATATTGAATTTAATAGGCGTCTCTCACATTGTCCCACAGCAACATTAAAATAGAATAAATTATTATTATAAAACATTGAACACTAATCTAGACTATTAAGTGTCCATTTCATTAATTTAACATATTTAATACTGGGGGCATCCAAATTATTTGATATAGGCCTATTTGAATTTTTTTTTTTTAAAGTAACGCAATAGTTACTTTCTCTGGTAATTAGTTACTTTGATAATGATGTAACTCAGTTACTAACTCAGTTACTATTTGTGAGAAGTAACTAGTAACTATAACTAATTACTTTTTTTAAGTAACATGCTCAACACTGCTCCTGGTCACCGTATATTTGAATAAAGGGTCGAAGATGTTAATTTTTACTAGGCCGGACATACCTTTTTTTTGGCCACTACTATATATATATGTACAGAGAATTGTATCAATTAAATACAGCAGAAAATATTAAATGGACATGGAACATTGATTTCAATGCAAATTATCTAGTTAAATATTTTTATTAAACTAGCCGAGCTATGTAGGAAATTTGTAGCCTGTGTGTCACGATGTGGGTTCATGTCTTGTTCCTGTCTGTCTTGTGTTCCCCCCATTATTGTGTATTTGGTTTAGTCCTTTCTAGTTTTCCCGCTCCTCGTTTGTGTTCATGTTTTCCACCTGTGTTCTTAGTTAATTGCCCAGCTGTGTCTTGTTTCACTCACCCGGTCCTCTGTATTTAAGCCCTGTGTTTTAGTTCAGTCCTTGTGAGTTCTTAATGTTGTAATGGTTGCTTTTTTCTGTGGTCCTAGTCTGAGTTTCTTTTGTTTGTTTTATTATTAAATGTGCTTGCAATTGGATTCATCTCTCCGCTTCATTCCTGCCTGCTTCGTTACACTGTGTCAATGGTCAATTAAATACATTTATATGCAAATAATTATCAACATGTATAATATTTTCATATCCTGACATTGTAAGTACATGTTTTACAGTACGTTTTCATATCATTTAGATGTGTTGAGGATTTTGGAGTACTTGCATTAAATATTTAAATATTCTAACATTTATTATGAAATTAACTCCCTCAAGCATGTAGAATTGGGTTTGCATCATACACTGGACCTGTTGATCTTTCCTTATATTTAGTCTTTCTTTTTGATTGAGAAGTTCCTGCATATCTGAGCTGTACATCCTGAACTAAGAGACTGAAGTTTATTGTTTTCCACAGGTTGATTGATAGTGGTGTCACAGATAAAGGTTGTGCTGCTCTGGGTTCAGCTTTGAGATCAAACCTCTCACACCTGAGACATCTCAATCTGTCTGGAAATAAACTACAAGACAAAGGAGTGGATCTGCTCTCTGCTGGACTGAAGGAACCCGAATGTAAACTAGAAACATTGTGGTAAGGTTGCAGTTTTCTTCCTATGGTTATAAAAGACTATGTTCTGTCAAATAACTATAGCGTATGTTGTTTTAATCTTCATTAGATTCTTCCCAAAGTGTCTAACATCATTTTACTGGTGATACTTTGCAAGTATAGACTGTTTTCATATCACTCAGACGTGATGAGGAAAATAAGGTTTCTTACTGTTTTTTTTATGATATTTAGTTTAGTTTAGTTTAGTTTATTTCTTTATTTGATCAGGGACAATGCACAAAAAAACATTAGTCTAAAAAAGAAGAGATGTCATGTGCCAGGTTATAGCAAAAAATGCTAATTTCCACCCGCTGTCCCTGGACAGGTTGATGTTATACTTACAAAAATTCATAAAATATATACAGAATAATACATGGAAGCATTACTTCACTCACATCATAAAAAAACACTCTCTACTTCAGGAAACTATCACTCACTCATTCACAGTTTACATCATTCATATCACAGTCATTCAGTGCGTACAGGTTTGCTTTGATAATAACCACTGTTTGGTCAAGCGTGTAAATGTACTATAGTTTGTACATAAGATAATTTCGTTTGGAAGAGTGTTCCAAAGGCTCGCTGCTTTATAAGAGAACGATTGTTGACCATATGTTGTTCTACGTCTCGGAACGCTGCACTCTCCTCTGACTGTGGACCGTGTGGCTCTAGAAATTCTCCGAATTTAGTGTGACAAATTTTCTCAAAGGGGGAGCAGCGATGTTATGGATAATTTTAAATAAAGCAGAAATTTGATTATATTTAATGAGGTTTTCAAAACTCAAAATGTTATATTTACTTTGTACTTTAATGATGGTACTGGCGAGGCTTTTTATCATGAATTTTCATAGCCCTTTTATATAATGATTCAAGTAATTTTAACGATGTTTTACACGCCTGAGACCAACTAGACATGCAAAACAGTAGATGTGGAACAATCATAGTATATATCATAGAGATATATTTGAGGCTTCCGTAGTTAATGAGTTTCTAATATGTTTATAGTTCATCAAATTAAATTTCAATTTATTACCAATTTTTTTTATGTGACTTTTAAAACCGAGATTCGAATCAAGTACTAGACCTAAATATTTTGTTTCATTTACATTTTTCATTTTTTGTCCATTTACTTGAATTTCTTGAGTTTGTTGTAATTTACGTTTATTTGAAAAAAACATTGAGACCGTTTTATCAACGTTTAAGGTCAAACAAGAAGTCTGCAACCATTCTGCAACTTTTTGCATCTCTTTTGATAATTTGTCAGTAACCTCCAGCTCGTGTCCCCCAAATGTGAAGATCACCGTATCATCAGCGTACATGATTACGTCAACGTCCGAACACACTCTAGGGAGGTCATTTATATAGATGCTAAAAAGCAAGGGTCCCAAAATAGACCCTTGCGGCACTCCCATCGAGGTAGCTCTAAACGCAGATTGGATGTTATTCATTTGTACACACTGGTGTCGGTCGCTCAAATAAGATCTTATCCAGTTTTGAGTGTGCTCAGAGAGACTATATTGATTTAGTTTACTGTAGAGTATCTGATGATTGACAGTATCAAAGCTTTACGCAGATCAAGGAAGACTGCTCCCACCACCCTTCCCTGATCCACATATGCCCTGATAGTTTCCAGGAAGTAGCAACAGGCAAAGTCTGTTGAATATTTCCATCTAAAACCGAATTGCATTGGATTTAAAAGAGATTGTGAGTCAAAATGGGTGGTAAGTTGCTCCGCCACTGTCTTTTCGAGCACTTTTGACGCAGCTGGAAGGATGCTTATTGGACGATAATTATTCATGTCTTGTTTGTTTCCAGACTTAAATATAGGGGTGACAATCGCAGGTTTTAGGGCTGCTGGAAAAATACCCTCACTAATCGATTGATTGATCATTGTTGTCAACGGATCAGAAAAAATATCCTTATATTGTTTAAAAAAAGAAGTATCAAGTCCATAAATATCCTTTGCTTTGCTGCTGTTTAGCACAGTAATTATTTTTTCAACTTTAGTTTTAGTTATTAAGCTAAGATTAAAATCAGATTTGTCACTGATTATGAGAGGGGGATGAGCAATTTGAAAATTCAGAGCCAGTTTTTGGACAATGTTTAAAAAATATTCATTAAAATTTGTTGCTATTGCAAAAAAGTCATCAATAATTTTTCCATTAATATTGAGACAAATATTCTCACTTTTTGATGTTTCTTTTCCAATCAATTTATTAATAGTTTTCCATATTATTCTACTATTACCTTGTGCATTTCTTATGATTTCAAGAAAAAAAACTGGCGCCAAAGCCTACTGTCTTTCTAAGCTCAGCTGTAACTTTATTTCTTTGACTTGTAAAGGCAAGTCGATCCGTTGTTAGTCCTGATTTTAGAAATGTTTTTAGCGCCACATCTCGCTTTTTCATCATATCCCAAATAATTTTGTTGAACCATGGCAAATTTCGTTTTGTATGTCGCTTTCTTTGCTTATTTTTTGTATATTTGGTTAAGATGTCATTTACGGCCAACATAAGATCATGACAGCCCTGTTCACAAGATTTTTTCTCCAAGATGTCTGGCCACTTTGTTTGTTTTAAATCTTTTTCAACCAGTTGTAAATCTTTCTTTGGAATGAATGTGATACACATTTTACTATTTATTGAATTTTCGTTCTTGCACCTTATTTTTTATCAATTTTCTAGCGTTAAATTGTGGTCAGACATACCTGTAATTAAATTATAAGTTTTAATTATTCTCTCGGGTTTATTTGTCAATATTAAATCTATTAAGGTTTGAGAAAATCTTGTTATACGAGTTGGTTTACTTAATAGTTGTGTCATTTGAAAAGGTTTTGTTATTTCTTTAAGTTTGTTTCTACATAATTTCTCAGACCAATTCAAATTAGTCACCTAAAAGAATGACTTCTTTTCCATCACATTGTTTAAGTTACCAAGAGAAATAAAGAAATCATTAGTAGCTTTGGGAGAAAGCCATTTGAGGAGATAAAGTAATAGTAGTCCCCACACACTCCAAGTTACAATCACTGATGTCCATCAGTGATTGTAACTCACTCTGATGTCCATCCGTGAATATTAACTCCCTCAAGCACTCTGTAGAACCAGGGGCCCGTTCTCCGAACGTGGATTACTCAGTAATCTGGATTTTACTGTTGACATGATCAAGGATTGTTAGGTTCTTCGAAGCTCATCCCAGAGTTGCTGTCATAGCAACAGGTCTGTGAAACTCAAACCTGCTCGGCACTCGGGAGAAGGCCTTTTTCATGTTAACAGGATTAGATTGCATTTTTTTTAAGCAGAGGTGATACTTAACCCTTGTGCATCAATTAAAAAAAGTTACACATAGGTCCATAGTGGACAAAAATGTCAGTGTCAAAAAAACTTTCATAACAATTTGAAGCTTGGGAGAACAGACCAGTCTCATTTTAAAGAAGACCCTTGGCAGATTTAAGTAAAACACGTTTTAAAAGTGAAACCAAAAAAAGTTATGGAGGTTGGTGAAAATGATTTATGAACATTATTTTATATAAAATATATATTTTATGAAACATGTTGAACTCTAAAACTGAAAATCTAAATTTGAGGTTGTTATCTCAAAACGTCTCAGGTTACGACTGTAACCATAGTTCCCTGAGAAAGGGAACGAGACGATGCGTCATCGGCGCTTTGGGAACGCCCCCAGCGTGAATGCGTCTGAGCATCAATGTCAACTAGTCCAATGGAAAGAATGAGCGTCAAGGGCGGGTGACGTCATGACCAGGAAGGGATAAAAGCACATCCGGTGAAAACCGGCATTAGCTTAAAAAATGTCGAAGCAAGCCGATCACAGGGATGCAGGAAGTATGGCAGGTTGACGCATCGTCTCGTTCCCTTTCTCAGGGAACTATGGTTACAGTCGTAACCTGAGACGTTCCCTTTCGAGGGAACTCGCGATGCGTCATCGACGCTTTGGGAACGAGAATACCCAAAACGCCAGAATTCCAAGTACCTGAGTGTCAGTCTGTTGGAACTAAGCACTAAGCACCTGAGAACCTGGGGCAGCATCCAGGTCCAAACTGTAAAACCTGACGAATGTGAGCGGTGAGGACCAGCCTACCGCATCACATACGTCTTGAAGAGAAACTCCAAATAATAAGGCTTTAGAGGCCGCCATACCCCTCGTAGAGTGAGCTCTGACCACCAAAGGACACGGCTGGTCAGAGTACTCGTATGCAAGTGAAATAGCCTCAACTATCCACTTACTAACCGTCTGTTTAGAAGCAGGAAGACCCTTCTTAGGTGATCCAAAGCAAATAAATAACTGGTCGGACTTCCTCATTGACGATGTCCGATGAACATAAGTATCCAGTGCTCGCACTGGACACAAGAGGTTTAGCCTTTCCTGGTCCGCAGATGTAAAAGGAGGAGGACAGAAAGCCTGCAGCACAATAGGCCTCGGAATCAAGGTCGGCACCTTAGGGACGTATCCCTGTTTCGGATATAAGAATGCCTTGACCATCCCCGGTGCAAACTCAAGGTAAGTGGGGGAAACCGAAAGGGCCTGAAGGTCTCCAACTCTCTTAAGGGACGAAATAGCTAGCAGAAAGATAGTCTTAAGGGTAAGAAATTTCTCTGAAACCGAATCTAAGGGCTCGAATGGAGCCCTAGACAGGCCTTCTAGTACTATTGCCAAATCCCAAGCTGGCACCCTAGTGCGAGTTGCAGGCCTCAGCCTCAATGTACCACGAAGGAAACGTGTAATCAGGGGGTCTCGACCCAACGATGTACCCCCCACCAGGGCATGGTAAGCCGCAATGGCCGCCACGTAAACCTTAAGTGTGGAAGGACATAAACCTGACGTAAAGCGCTCCTGCAAGAACTTGAGTACTGTGTTCACAGAACAGTTAACCGGATCCCACTGATGTCGGTGACACCATACAGAAAAAACTTTCCATTTCAGCGCATATAGTTTCCTAGTAGCTGGAGCTCTGGAGCTTAGAATGGTCT